TGTGAAGTTTTTTGACTGTATTTTTGGTAAAAGCTTCTCAGATCATGATTTCATGTAATATGGACACATAAACAATCGGTGCCGGGTGCACACATCAGTATACACACAGACACAGACATGGCGCGGGGGGTGGCAACCCCCCCATGTGCGTTCTAGGATGGGAAAATGGCATGTGCGGGCAAGGGTTAAAAAAGGGGAGTATTTCTGGAGCCGCACCTACCTGCCGGTGACGGGCTTGGTGCTGAGGCCGGTGGTGCTGCTGGTGCTGCTGGTAGATGACCTGAAATAGAATCAGCACATTTGAGTTCAAATTGCTATTCATTGTAAGAAAATATAGCGTTCTCTTCTTTGTTTTACGCTCAATAGCATTCCTGATTGAATATGTGTAACAATACAATGTATAGCCTATCGTTGTAGATTTGGTGATGAAAAAACAAACTAAAAATGTGCCTCGAACAAACGACCAAAATAAAATATATCCACCCTAATAGTTGATTTGTAATAAGACACTTACGAACGCTGGTGGCGGGCTTGGTGCTGAGGCCGGTGGTGCTGGTGGTGGTGATGGTTGATGATCTATAAGGGAAGAAATACAAATTGACCGCAAACCGATGCAACTGTTATAAAATACGGTTGATTCACCTCTCAACCAGTCCAACGGTCAACAAAATCCTGACGGAATCCGTTATCAGCGGATTATTATTATTTAAATTTATTATTACAGCGTTTTTTATTATACATATATTCTTCCTATTGATCTGATTATGAAGAAGAAATTACCGACAAAATCTCCTACGTAACATAGCGAGAAGAACAAGTTTTACGTTTTCAGCTTTCAATAAAAATCAGACACTCACGGAGACTGGTGGCGGGCCTGGTCCCGGAGCCGGTGGTGCTGGTGATGGTGATGGTGATGGCCGGTGTTGATGGCGGACCTGGAATAATATAAACGATTGAATTATTGTACATGACAGACCAAGTGATCACCTTATCATACAGACAGAGCGGTAGCAATGTCTACGGTAAAATGAACAAAATTAGTCTGACACTACAATACAAAAAGTTTCGATAACATATAACGAAACCGTGAAATCTGCAACTAAAAAACAAGTTCATGGTGCATTTCACACAGCTAGATGGCTATTGGACACAGCAAAGAAGAGTCACAACTGACAATTTTGTATAGCGAATCTAAACCAGTATAACGCCTTTTGTGGCGACTAACGGAGCGAGCGAGAGGGTGGGCCTTGCACGTGCGAAATTGCGAGGGGGTACCTCCAACTGACTTGTGCACGGCACCTTACTAACCGGTCTCTAGCGATGTGCCAAATTTGAGCACAATCGGCCCAGCCGTTCTCGAGATCTGGAAGCGGCACCCTGCACGTGCGCACGTGCAAAATGGGTCCCAACTGACTTGTGCACGGCACCCTACTAACCGGTCCCTAACCGTGTACCAACTTTGAGCGCAATCGGTCCAGCCGTTCCCGAGATCTGGAAACGACCCCTGCACGTGCGCACGTGCAGTAGCACCCCAACTCTGGCACATGTATATGCAGTGCCTAGTGGGTGCCTACCTACATGCCAACTTTCAGCACAATCGGCCAAGTAGTTACCGAGATATTGCAACAATTACAAAACTGACACCTCTTCGTTTTGCACGTGGCACGTGCATAAGGGGTCACCCACATGCATCGGGAATAGTCCAATACTTGGTAGAAGGAATGAAGCTACCCTACAAAAATTACCGCGCGTAAATCGGTCAAGTGGTTGCTGAGATATAAGCCTCGCAAAAGCGTGACCACGGCCGGCCGGCCGGCCGGCCGCTCATACTCAGAAATTTCCGTTAACCCGCGCCCCACTGGGGGGGGCTATTTATAGCCCCCCTCCCGTTTTTCTGCAATAACTTCCAAACCGCTTGACGAATCGACGCCAAACTTTCAGTACCTTCGGCTGCATCAATTTGACACCTTGTGTAAAAATTTGAACTTCGTAGCTACCATAGGTCGGCCGGAAATGACGTCAGAGTGACGTCATGTTCGGCCGATTTCGACGCAAAACATTGAACCACGGCAATCGCTCCCAAGAGCTCAGTTTTTAAGCTAGATCCAATTTCTTTGCATGAAAGAGCTCAGAATTGACCGCGCTATCAAACTGCTATCTCGGATTTTCAAAAGTTTGAAAATTTCGAAAATTTTATATAATAATATTCAAAATTTATATTTTTATATTTTTTTCAAAAAGTTTTTGACTTTTCGAAAAAAACGGAATATATGTGACAGAACGCATGATTATGACTAACTCTAGCAAGTTTTAGCTAAATATCTTCAAAAATGGCCAAGTTATACGCATTATTGCAAAAAATTCACAATTATTAATTTTTCAAATCAATTTTTCAGTACGTATTTGGCATCGTACACCAATATAAATGCCACCATCGTGTTCCTGAGCTCAAACTGCATCCCATAGACACCTTTTTTGTTGAAAAATTTCAACTTCAAAATTTGACCTTTTTTGACCTGAAAGTGACCTGACCTAAGCTAATTTCGACTCCAAATGACCTTGAATGACACAGACGACATCAAATTCGAAATCTATGGCCTAAATGGACCATAAAACATGTGTCACGTGACCGACGCATGATATAATATTTTCGTGACCTGTGATGACCTGACCCTGACCTGAAAATCAAAGTACAAGTTTGGTACCCTCAAGGTATCTAGAGCATCTGTTCACGAGTGTGGAAACCAAAAATGAGCCTGATCTGACTTGTAAGACGGCGGCCAGAGCCCAAAATGTGAACAAGCCAAAGTGCTAATAATTTTTACTTTGACCTGACCTGTGACGTCATCGATGACCTCGAGGTCAATGAAATTAGGTTTCGCTCGACAGTTTTTCCGGGGCTATCAGACGCCGTTTGAATTTTGACGATCGGCCCAGTAGTTTCGGAGTTAGGAGGGGGGGCTATGAATAGCCCCCCCCCCCAGTAGGGCGTGTTATACACAGACCCCAGTGGGGCGCGGGTTAATCTAAGGAAAGACTACGCTCGCTTCGCTCGCTCCGTAATAAGTGTATCCATGACAATGACGAAATAAATTATTCCATTTGTTTTGTCTGTGTATCAATTATCAACGTCAAGCGTTCCTTTGCTAGAAACTAGCCACGGACGACAGTGCGCCAATGACATCGTGTCCGAGCTCTCAGAGGCCGGTGGTGGTCTTCCCTATGTATTTACTGAGACCTGCGGCGCAGCACTCTTCAGGTGCTGTATGCCAGAGCCATCTGTTGCCGACATAAGAAACTACTGAGACCTGCGGTACAACACTCTTCAGGTGCTGTATGCCAGAGCCATCTGTTGGCGACATAAGAAACTACTGAGACCTGCGGCGCAGCAGTCTTCAGGTGCTGTATGACAGAGCCATCTGTTGGCTAACACTGAAACTACTGAGTCGTGCGGTACAGCATGCTTCAGGCGCTGTATGCTAGAGCCATCTGTTGGCTAAATATCAAACTACTGAGTCGTGCGGTACAGAAGACAGTGTTCTCGCCGATATCCCGTCTGTACTCACGGAGGCTGGTGGCGGGCCTGGTGCTGAGGCCGGTGGTGCTGGTGGTGGTGATGGTAGATGACCTGAAAAAGAATCAGCACATGTTGAGCTCCAATTGTTATTCACTGTAAGAAAATTATTGCGCCACTTTTATTATTAACACATCATTCGCTCATTAGCACTGCATTCCTGATGTAATATTTGTTACAATAAAATATATAGCCTATCGATATAAATTTGGTGATGAAAAATATAATATCAGTGTGTCTCGAACTTACGACTAAAATAAAAAATATAGTTTTTATGGTCAATTGCTAATAAGACACTCACGGACGCTGGTGGCGGGCTTGGTGCTGTGCTGAGGCCAATGGTGCTGGTGGTGGCGGGCTTGGTGCTGAGGCCGGTGGTGCTGGTGGTGGCGGGCTTGGTGCTGAGGCCGGTGGTGCTGGTGGTGGCGGGCTTGGTGCTGAGGCCGGTGGTGCTGGTGGCGGTGCTGGCTGATGGTCTAAAAGGGAGATAGTACAAATTGACCGCAAACCGAAAGAACTCCTATAAAATACAGTGGATTCACCTCTCAACCAGCCCTACGGTCAGAAAAATGCTGACAGAATCCGTTATTATTGTTGTATAATGATATTATTCCTATCGATCTGATTATGCAAAAAATATTGACCACAAATCCTATGTAACATTGCGGAAAGAACAAGTTTTACGTTTCAGGATGCATTCAATGATTACACACACACGGAGGCTGGTGGAGGACTTGATCCCGAAGCCGGTGGTGCTGGTGGCGGTGATGGTGATGGTGCTGGTGATGGTGGTGATGGCGGACCTGAAACAATATGAACGATTAAATCATTATATATGACAGACGAAACGATCACCTTATCATACAGACAGAGCGGTAGCAATGTCTACGGCAAAATGAACACAAATGTTCGGACAAGTACAGTCATTACAAAAAGTATCGATCACATATAGCAATACCGTGAAATATATAACTGAAAAATACGTTCATGGTGTTTTTCATGCCAAGTAAATGACTATTTATTGATTAGATCAAAGACGAGTGGGAACTGACAGTTTGCTAGACCGAATAAATATAAATGTACCTAACGAAGATAATGAAAAAATAAATATTTCACTGCTTTTATTCTTATTTTCATTTTTAGTTTGTTTATAGTTTCTGCATCATTCAGCATCGCCAAATGTTTGAGTTTCCCAGAGACAAGCAAGAGGCAACAGTGCCCGGTTATCGCGTCTGTACTCACGGAGGCTGGTGATGGACTGGGTTTCGGAGCCGGTGGTGCTGGTGGTGGTGCTGGTGATGGCTGGTGATGGTGATGATAGATGATCTGAAAGCAGTCAGTAGGTTTTTAGATCAGCGTATTATGCGCAGTAAGAACAAGAAGTAAGACAAACTGAGGAATTTGTTCAAAACTGTGACGATTGGAAAAAGGTTTTGAGTTTTACATGTTCATTGCCATTTTATGATTCGACACTTACGGACATGCTGGTGACGGGTTTGATCCCGGAGCCGGTGGTGCTGGTGCTGGTGATGGTCATGATGATGGTCATGCTGGGGACGGTGATGATGGCGGAGCTGAAATACAAGGCGCTAGTTATTATGTCGTCTGTGATGTTTATATCTTAGATACAGCGCTAAAGAAGCAAAATCACAACCACAAATATTTTGAGTTAGCAGACAAATTGTAAAAATAACATCATTAATTGTCTTATAAAGTATGATAGCTGTGTTATCATTTCCGGTAACTCTAAGTCAATGGCAGTTCACTTGATAGTGGTTTCGGGAGCCGTGAAGCTGGACCCGACTGCCGTTGGTGTACTCACGCCTGCCGGTGGTGCCGGTGGTGCTGTCACTGCTGGTGATGGTGACGTCTGTGGTGATCTGAAACACCAGTGTCCAGTTTTAGGTCCCCTGATATTGACAGCCACACCCGCCGTGTCGCTACCGCTATCCCACACCGGGTCTGGCAGTGGTGTGACGTCACTCCCACACCCGCCGTGTCGCTACCGCTATCCCACACCGGGTCTGACAGTGGTGTGACGTCACTCCCACACCCGCCGTGTCGCTACCGCTATCCCACACCGGGTCTGACAGTGGTGTGACGTCACTCCCACACCCGCCGTGTCGCTACCGCTATCCCACACCGGGTCTGACAGTGGTGTGACGTCACTCCCACACCCGCCGTGTCGCTACCGCTATCCCACACCGGGTCTGACAGTGGTGTGACGTCACTCCCACACCCGCCGTGTCGCTACCGCTATCCCACACCGGGTCTGACAGTGGTGTGACGTCACTCCCACACCCGCCGTGTCGCTACCGCTATCCCACACCGGGTCTGACAGTGGTGTGACGTCACTCCCACACCCGCCGTGTCGCTACCGCTATCCCACACCGGGTCTGACAGTGGTGTGACGTCACTCCCACACCCGCCGTGTCGCTACCGCTATCCCACACCGGAGCCCTGTTCGGGCAGCGCATCCTGCTGCAAAATTTTGCACCACGCATGCGCAGTAGGGGTCTCTCGGGTGCCAGGCTCCGCCCTTCGGCGTATGACGTCACATGTGTGACGTCGGCACGCGCAAAATCTTTCAGTTTTGCGCAACAAGAAAATAGGAGCTGCAGGAGGCGAAAGTGGCGCGAATTAAAGTTTACCGTCCTATATTTCTTATTGTAAGCGGTTTGAATGCTGTTTTTTGGGTATCATTATCACTTTTTTCAGTGGCACATTGCTATTAACCACATTTGAACGCATTTTATTCAGTTTTTGAACGAAAACCACCAGTCCATCCGCGCCACGGTTCGTCACGCGTCGAATAATGGCTGCCGCGGCCCTCGGCTCTGGCGGCCCGGCGGAGAGTGGGCGGAGCCAGTGGCTGACGTCATTCCAAGTGTGCCACTGCCGTCACACACTGCAAAATATTTTGCGCGGACCCGAACAGGGCTCAGGTCTGTCAGTGGTGTGATGTCACTCCCACACCCGCCGTGTCGCTACCGCTATCCCACACCGGGTCTGACAGTGGTGTGACGTCACTCCCACACCCGCCGTGTCGCTACCGCTATCCCACACCGGGTCTGACAGTGGTGTGACGTCACTCCCACACCCGCCGTGTCGCTACCGCTATCCCACACCGGGGCTGACAGTGGTGTGACGTCACTCCCACACCCGCCGTGTCGCTACCGCTATCCCACACCGGGTCTGACAGTGGTGTGACGTCACTCCCACACCCGCCGTGTCGCTACCGCTATCCCACACCGGGTCTGACAGTGGTGTGACGTCACTCCCACACCCGCCGTGTCGCTACCGCTATCCCACACCGGGTCTGGCAGTGGTGTGACGTCACTCCCACACCCGCCGTGTCGCTACCGCTATCCCACACCGGGTCTGACAGTGGTGTGACGTCACTCCCACACCCGCCGTGTCGCTACCGCTATCCCACACCGGGTCTGACAGTGGTGTGACGTCACTCCCACACCCGCCGTGTCGCTACTGCTATCCCACACCGGGTCTGACAGTGGTGTGACGTCACTCCCCCACCCGCCGTGTCGCTACCGCTATCCCACACCGGGTCTGACAGTGGTGTGACGTCACTCCCACACCCGCCGTGTCGCTACCGCTATCCCACACCGGGTCTGACAGTGGTGTGACGTCACTCCCACACCCGCCGTGTCGCTACCGCTATCCCACATCGGGTCTGACAGTGGTGTGACGTCACTCCCACACCCGCCGTGTCGCTACCGCTATCCCACACCGGGTCTGAAGGCCTGGCTACACTATGCGTTTTCTGCGTGCGTTTTTGCAGGTTTGCGTGTTTTGCGTAATATCGTTCTAGGAAAAAAGTTATAAACAATATAATTTTTACTTTGGTTATATACAAAAGCTAATATAACTCTTATGTAACTAAAATTTAAGGTGAAAAACATCACAAAAACGTAATATCGTTCTTTTTTCTAGAACGATATCACGCAAAACACGCAAACACGCAAAAAACGCACGAAGAAAACGCATAGTGTAGCCAGGCCTTGACAGTGGTGTGACGTCACTCCCACACCCGAACTGTTGGTCCGACCGAGTAAACAGCCAGGTCCGGACCGGCCATTCAGTATCGCTCTGCCCGTCACTGAGACTGACCAACAAATAACACGTCATTTACCGCATACCGTTTGTTTCAGAGCCTATACTCACGGGGCGGTCAGTGTCCATGGCGCCGCTCAGTGACTGACCAACTAATAACACGTCATTTACCGTATACCGTTTGTTTCAGAGCCTATACTCACGGGGCGGTCAGTGTCCATGGCGCCGCTCAGTGACTGACCAACTAATAACACGTCATTTACCGTATACCGTATGTTTCAGAGCCTATACTCACGGGGCGGTCAGTGTCCATGGCGCCGCTCAGAGACTGGCCAACTAATAACACGTCATTTACCGTATACCGTATGTTTCAGAGCCTATACTCACGGGGCGGTCAGTGTCCATGGCGCCGCTCAGTGACTGACCAACTAATAACACGTCATTTACCGTATACCGTATGTTTCAGAGCCTATACTCACGGGGCGGTCAGTGTCCATGGCGCCGCTCAGAGACTGGCCAACTAATAACACGTCATTTACCGTATACCGTATGTTTCAGAGCCTATACTCACGGGGCGGTCAGTGTCCATGGCGCCGCTCAGTGACTGACCAACAAATAACACGTCATTTACCGTATACCGTATGTTTCAGAGCCTATACTCACGGGGCGGTCAGTGTCCATGGCGCCGCTCAGAGACTGGCCAACTAATAACACGTCATTTACCGTATACCGTATGTTTCAGAGCCTATACTCACGGGGCGGTCAGTGTCCATGGCGCCGCTCAGTGACTGACCAACTAATAACACGTCATTTACCGCATACCGTATGTTTCAGAGCCTATACTCACGGGGCGGTCAGCGTCCATGGCGCCGCTCAGTGACTGACCAACAAATAACACGTCATTTACCGCATACCGTTTGTTTCAGAGCCTATACTCACGGGGCGGTCAGTGTCCATGGCGCCGCTCAGCTGGCCGACACATCGGCTCGCCGACACGGGGCCGTGTCGGACGGCCCCGTCACTGCTGGCCGTCCGACACGTCCGGACGAGCCCGCTTGGCGTCCGGCGGCTGGCCGGCGTCCGCTGCCGGCGGCTCCTGGTGCCGCCGCTTGCCGGCCGGACGGGCCGGACACGCCTCCGTCCGAGGGGTGGGACGGAGGTCGGAGCCGGGCCGCTGATCGCCACTGGCCTCGCCTCCGACGGCCCTCGGCGGCCGGTCTGCAACAGGCCGGGTCAGGCAGAGGTCAGGGAGGGTCAGTCACAGGTCAGTGCGGCTCAAGCAGAGCTATTTCAAACTCAGGGCTACAGACTTCAGTTGAAAAAAAAAAACGTTTCTCGTCTGAGCACTGCTGGGAAAAAATGACATTGTGGTCTGTCACACCTCTTTCAAGGCAATGTTGATTCTGTAGCAATTCCTTCAACTCATTTTCCACAACCATTCCCGTCTAAAACATTGCTGAGAAGAAAAATATACCTAATACAAGAACCTTTCACTTACCTGTTACAAGGCACAGCGGCTCCTGAAGCTGCTCCTCCAGCTCCTTATCCAGCTCCTTCTGCAGCTCATCCTGCAGCTCGTGACGTCTGCTGCTGCATTCCTCCAGCAGCCGATCCAACTCCCCCGACCGAACGCTCGGGAATCTCTCCTCCAGCTCCAGTGACTCTCTCTGGTGTCTCTGCTCCAGCTCTTGCCACTGCTGCTGTAGTGTGTGCTGGAGATCTAACCACTGGAGGCCGTGAGATCGATCCAATCCTTCTCTATATAGTTTTGGAAGGACAGTCAGTTGTTCGTTGTGCATATGGCGAAGACGGTTCAGATCCTCCCACTCCGTTTCGTGATAGAAATCTGCTTCTTCCCAGCGCATGTCGTTATCGAGATCAAACTCTTCTAGCTTGACTTTGCAGTCGCCAGTCAGGCCTTCCCAATGCAGGTCGTGATAGCCAGTTAGCTCTTCACACAGCAGGTCTACTAGGCGACCCACCCGCTGCAGGTCACCAGCACGCTCCAGCTCATCTAGCTGCCTTCCTGCGCTGTCTTCCTGCCGATGGAGCTCACTGCGCTCCTGGTAGTGACGAGCCAGCAGGCTCTGTCGCTGTTGGTCGTGCTTCTGGCCCAGATGCCGACGCTCCTCTTCATGGTCTTTGTCCATCCTCACTCTTTCTTCGTTTCCTGGATCCTCCAGCTCCTGCCATAGCTGCTGATGTTGTAGTTCCAGCTCCTTCCACCGCTGCTGATGTTGCTGTTCAATCTGCCGCCACCTCTGCCGGTGTGGGTGAGGCAGACCCTCTGATGGCTGCTCCTCTTCGTCGTAGTGCTGCTCCTCGTCTTCGACCCCTCCGTCGCGGTCACTCTGCGGCGAGTCTGGAACACAGCAGGTCAGACAGAAGTCACACGCTGGGAGGAAGGTCGATAGGCGACCAAATCGAAAGAAAACTGGATCACTATTCACAGTACGAGGTAAAAGACCATGTGTTATGGCATGCCATTTATCAGCATGGGCAAGAGAGTTACAAAATCTAGTTACTTCGCTCACCATTTTTTTATGCATTTATTTTTACGATTTGTTACGATTTTTTCAAAAAATGATTTTTTTATTTTTACGATTTATTCAAATAATGAACACTGCATCGTGCCTCACGGTGATAATGTAACAAATAAGACACTGACTCGCGGTACTGTACATGACTAAAACTGTTCAGTATCGGCGTCATTACTATCGCCATCTAGCCCATGATGTTTGATTAGAACACAGGACGGCAGTCGGTGGACAGGGTACCTACTTAGAGTGGTCGGGGTTAGTTTTTTAACCCTCGCCCACGCATGCCATTTTTCCACCGTAGAGCGCACATGGGGGAGGGGGGGGGGGCTATACCCCCGCGCCATTTCGTTCCTGCTAGAGATAGAGCTTCGCGGTAAAAACCAACAGATTCTTTTGGAAGAGACAAATCCAATGGTATCCAATTTTACCTCAATGTGCAGTCATTGACCTTCCAGGTCAGGTCAAACTAAAAAATGTTGCTGTATGGGGTCACCGTTGGAATATCACGTGCAGTGCCCATCATATACCGATGACGCTGCGGTATTGGTGCCAAGCCAGCTAGGACAGCTCTTTGTTACACTATCCGACTAAGTTTTTACTGACTGGGGTCTTAGGTCAGCTTAGGTCAGGGTCAATGATATGTGTTTGTATGTCTGTGTTTGTGTCTGTGTATAGTGATGTGTGCACCGATTGGTTTGTGTGTCCCTGTTACATGAGATCATGAATTGAGAAGCTTTTACCAAAAATGCAGTCAAAAAAACTTAACGAAAAGTAAATTCAGCTTGCCTAAAACGCAATGTTTTAGATGACCTAGGTTGACCTTGAACCTGACCCTGACATCTTTACATCGTTTCATTGACCTTTGATGACCTCGGTTCACTCTTCAAATTTTACATGCCTCAAGGCCAGTTTTTGGAGTTGAATTCGAATTTAGCAACCATATGAAGATTTACGAAGTAGTTTTGGTGCCTTCGTTACATGTTACGAAGCTGTCAGAGGCGGTTGACACCTACAACGAATACCCGGCAGAACCCCTACTGATTGACCTGACCTGACCTGACCTGACCTGACCCGACCAGGCCTAAATGCATGAAGACATTATCTTTGAGCAAAAACTAACATGATATTCGTGATCAGCACCCCGAATAACCCATAGTAGCCACATTTAACGACGTTCTAACAGGTCCCGATTTTCCCGACTTTTGGGTCATTGACCTGACCTGGAATGTCAAACAATGACCTAGGACCTTAAAGTTGGGTATGATCGGCTTTCTCTCGTCACATGCAATACGCTCGTTTTTCCGCGACGCTCTAGCTTGATCAGGGGCGAAACGGCAAGGGTTGAGTCCAACGGACCTCCCCCCAGCCTCCTTTTACGTTCGCGGCTGGGAAAACACCAATACGGGCGAGGGTTAACCCTCGCCGGCACAGGCCATTTTGCGTTCTTCGACGGCACAAGGGGGGGGGGCTACGACCCCCCCTCGCGTTTGGCCCCTGATCGAGCTAGAGCTTCGCGGAAAAAACGAGCGTGTTGCCCGTCACGAGACAAAGCCAATGATACCCAATTTTAAGGTCCTAGGTCATCGGGTGACCTTCCAGGTCAGGTCAATGACCCGAAAACCGGGAAAATCGGGACCTGTTAGAAAGTCGTAAATTGTGGCTGCTATTTGGTTTTCCGGGGTGCTGATCAGTATCACGAATATCGTGTTAGTTTTGATCAGAGATAATGTCTTTAAGCATTTAGACCAGGTCGGGTCAGGTCAGGTCAGGTCAACCGGTAGGGGTTGTGACGGGTATTCGTAATACGTGTCAACCGTCTCTGACAGCTTCGTAACATGTTACGAAGGCAACAAAACTACTTCGTAAATGTTCAAATGGTTGCCAAATTCGAATTCAGCTCCAAAAACTAGCCTAGAAACATGTAAAACTCGAAAAAGTGAACCGAGGTCACCCGAGGTCACCAAAGGTCAATGACTTGACCTGACCTTCAGGTGACCTTGACACCCACCCTAATGTATGGGAGCGACATCAAATTACATGTTTGAACGTTTGAAACCACAAAAAGCTTGCAAACGCGCGGCTGTGAGCCGATATAGGTATGCTGAATCGCGATTCCGGCCAAACATGGTCTCGGAAAAGAGGTCACAGGTCAAAGGTCATTGGGGTCAGGGTCATGGAATTTTCAGGGATAGTGTAAAATTGATCAATGCGAGGGCACTGAAAGTTTCGTCGCGATCGGCCGCTTTTTACGCGAGTTATTCGCGAAAAACCTTAGGGGGGGTTGCATCACCCCCCCCCCCCCCCTGTGCCGGCGAGGGTTAAACTAGGTCAATGAAATTTGGTCACAAGGTAGTTCTCCGCTGGGGCTATCGAATGTCGTTTGAAATTCGAAAATCAGTCGGTTACTTTCCGAGATCTTTGGGAGGGGGGGGGGGAGTCACGGGTGGCAGGGTCGGTTGACGGCCATACAGGGGGCGGGTTAACCCCATTTGAGCTCACCAGTCACCATATAACAAAAAACAGGCATTTTGTGGGTGGATAGTGATTCACCGAAAAGGGAAGTCCCCCCCCGGGCCAATTCGTCATGCGAACTGTAAACTGTGCATCCTTCACAATCTTGGATCCCGGTATGGCGGGAAACTCGGCCAATTGGAATGCCCAGATTGGTTGTCATGACAACGGTTGCCTGGCAACGGCTTGTATCGGGGAGCGGAGGGAGGGAGCGGATGGAAATGCCGGCGAAAACGGATTCTTGTGTTTTCATGTGGCATCAACTCTAAATAGGTATTGGTATAAGAAGATGTGAACGTGATTGAGAGCGAAGATCAGAAAGACGGCCTTCAGGAATTTGGGTCACAACTCGGTCACGATACGTAAACGGTAAAGTAAATGCTCGAAAACCTTCATAGCTTTATTCATCCTCCTGAATAATATCTAATAACTACATTGTAGGTGTAATAATTGTTTTACTGCATTTTGTACTATTTATTTTTATTTTTCCGCCTTAGATTCTTTTGTAATGGTGACCGCTCGTCCAAGTTCCAACTTTTTTGTTACAAAAAACCAATACCTACTTCTATTTCGTCATGACAGAAGGTGGCTCCATATCAAAGCATACAAAATCTTATCATACAATCATCAAAACATACAAAATCGTAACATACAACACGCAAAACCTACAAAACAGGCCGGGTAGAGGACAGTCAAAACATACAAAAGCGCAGCATACAAAATCGTGTCATACAGAATCGCAAGGTACAAAATCGTTTCACACAAAAAGGCAGTGGAAATTAATGGCATTAATCAAAGTACGCATCATACAAAACCATTTCATATAAATTTACATCATTTCGTCGTCCTTGAGATGTCAATTTTCAGTTGGATCAAAACCTACAATCTCAACTGCGCTTCAAGCGACATCTTTGTTAGAAGCTTGCGTAGTTACGAAATATTCCGCTAGATGCCTCCTCTGTCAAAGCACAGCCAAGCTTTGCACGGCCAGCGTTTTTTGCTTGTTTATACAGTGAGCGCCGGTCTCGGAGCGACGGGGCGTCCCGGCGGCGCCGTCGTCCCCCTCCCTCAGACTGGGCAAGGTCTCCCCTCCCTCGGCAGACGGCGCGGCCCCAGAGGAAACGGCCAAGGCCGTGCCTGACTTACATCCCCGCTCTCTGCGGGCCGGAGAACGAAGTGGCGCTTGGTACATTGAGCAGCATTTTGCTCATTTCGACCATAGCTGCCGGTACATAATTCGTAAATTAAATTGAAAACTGCAAAAAAAAAAATTAACTGACTTAACCCTCGCCCGTATAGGGGGGAAGGATCAAACGAACCGCCACCCCCATGGTTTTTCGCGAATAACTCGCGTAAAAAGCGGTTGATCGCGATGAAACTTTCAGTACTGTCGAGTCAATCAATTGTACACCTACCCTCAAAATTTCATGACCCTGTCCCAAATGAACCTTGACCTGTGGCCTATTTTTCGAGACCATGTTTGGCCGGAATCGCGATTCGGCGTATGTCGGCTCGTATTAGCCGCGCGTTTGCAGTATTTTTGCGGTTTCAAACGTTCAAACATGTGATATGATGTTGGTCCTATGCATTATGGTGGGTGTCAAGGTCACCTGAAGGTCAGGTCAGATCATTGACCTTTGATGACCTAGGTTCACTTCTTCGAGTTTTACATGTTTCTAGGCTACTTTTTGGAGCTGATTTCGAATTAAGCAACCATTTGAACATTTACGAAGTTGTTTTGGTGTCTTCGTAACATGTTACGAAGCTGTCAGCCTGTCAGTAACGGCTGACACGCACTATGAATACCTGGCAGGACGTCTACTGATTGGCCTGATCTGACCTGACCTGGCCTAAATGCATTAAGACATCATCTATGATCAAAACTGACACGATATTCGTCGTCAGCACCCCGAAAAATCCCTCATCAACCTCACTTTACGATGTTCTAACAGGTCCCGATTTTCCAGACTTGTGGGTCATTGACCTGACCTGGAAAGTCAACCAATGACCTAGGACCTTAAAATTGGGTATCACCCCGGTCCCCGGCTTCCTCTCGTCACGAGCAGCACGCTCGTTTTTTTTTCTCGAAGCTCTAGCTCGATCAGGGGCCAAACGGCAAGGGGGGGGGCGGTCCAACGACCCCCCCCCCCTATACGTTCGAGGCTGGCAAAACACCAGTACGGGCGAAGGTTAACCCGACAGTTGCTGGAGTATTTCGCCACACACCACTTGCTGGGTGGGGGTGGGAGGGGGGGGGGCGGTAAACTTTCCCAGCCCATAGCTCGAGAACCCATAGCCCATAGCCCATAGCTCGAGGCGCAGCGAAACGGGCGAGGCAGCAAACAAAATAACGCTACGAGACGCTTCTGATGTGATGAGTACCTTCAAGTGGAGTTCCGAGGTCACAGGTCGGTCCAAGATTATTTTAAATACCTGAAATTAGGCTTTTAATAGCATGGACTTCAAACCTCGAAATGGGCGTCTCTCGTAACAAACTATGTCTCCAACGGACCCCCTCCCCCCCATATACGTTCGCGGCTGGCAAAACACCAGTACGGGCGAGGATTATGGACTTATGTGTTTGTATGCTCTTTCCGTGACCGCGTTTTCAGCCGCTAGCATATAATTTGGGGGGGGGGGGGAATTCTGTTGGATCCCCAATCGTTCAGTCCCTAACCGAATTATAGCTTCGCGAAAACATGAACGTCCTACCGTAACTAAAGGAAGCCGATGATACCCGATTTTAAGATCGCCGGTCATTAGTTGGCATTTCAAGTCGGGTAAATGACTTAAAAGTCAGGGAAATCGTGGCCTATTTTAACTTTTTAAAATGAGGTTGTTATGGAGTTTTTTTCGGCGTTCTGATTTCGAATTTCGTGCAAGTTTTGATCAAAGACGATGTATCCGTGCATTTTGGGTAGGTCGGGTCAGGTCAACTCAACCATTAGGCGTCACCGCCGACATCCAAATGGGTGTTTACCGCCACCAACAGCTTAGTTACAGTTAAGGATATGATGTGGACTGTGGAGTTTGTTAATGTAATAAGTGAATGAGAGCTTTACTCCACAAGAAATCGTTCGGGTCGGAGCTTTCAAATTGTATTTACAAAACTTCGTCAGCGAGTCGTAATCGGGTTTAGGGGGTATCGGTCGCAAAATATGTAGCATAGACACTAAAACTATTTCTCACAATGCACAATGGGACCGGAGCAAGAATTAGCGCGACATCGGTACTTTTTCGTGTTTCGTGCCCGCTTTTCACATGAAAGGGATGATAGAATCACACAAATGGTAGTCGGTGTACTTTCGAAGCACTTCCTGATAAATTTAATTAAATAATCATTAGTCATTTAATTAATTAATTAATTAATCAATTAATCAATTAATTAATCAGTTGACCAGCGTTGACCTTGACTCGGTTCGGTCACGTGATAAGATGGCATCACCTGCCAGGTTAAGTCATGACGGAACCGGAAATTCCGATAAGCAAATAATGTAGCCACCAAAACCATGATGGGAATCTGATAGCCTGATGGACTATATAACAAATAAAGTGAGGGGCAGAAAAGTGTATCATCAGACACTCCGATAGCAGGTACGGATATTTCCGGACAAAACTTAAATATAGTTGGCACTTGGCAGACTTGTTCGACTCCTAGGAGGATCGGATCTGTTACTCCCAGCTTCCGGCCGGCTCGTGGTAACCGCGCACGGCCAGCACCGGCGACCTGAAGTAAAAACAAAAATGCCCCTCATTTTCGATGTAGCAGGCTGCAGCAGCTAAATTATACATTTTCTGAAAGGCAATTGATCGGTAAAGACCATATATTGATAACTAAGAAGAGCGCGACCTAGCGGGACGTTTTATATCGGCATTCTAGAATGTTTATAACAGTAAAATTAAGTCACAATTTTAAAAACACCTACAAACTTAACATTTGAAGCGTATTTATATATTCCGTAAAAAGTTTTTCTTTCCATCGTGAAGCCCATGGTCTAAACTATCAGGTTATACCCCGAAAATATTGATAAAGCCGTCTAATATATATTTTTTCTTACCTACATTAGCTGCTACTTTTATCCGTACGAAAACGGGTCTACGATGCTTGTCACAGAACTTTGTATTTGGGCTGATGTGGCGCGGACGCTATACACCATGGACGAAAATATTTGCAGATTCGTGGTCCATGGACATTTCTGAACTACGTGGAACAGCCTAACTCAGTTTGGGAAAGGGCGGCAAAGCCACCAATGTCGCGCTAATTCGGGCCGCGGTCCCATCGTGCAATGGTCCGTCTTTTCAAGTTCAACCCTCACTGTAAACATCCTGTTAAACACATTTAAAATGTTTGGTAGGTTAACCACTCAAAAACTGGTTGGTTCACATATGATTTAACCCTCGCCCGTATTGGCGTTTTGCCAGCGTCTAACGTATCGTGCGTTGATGCTAACGTCACGATTTATATTTGACCTGAGGTCAAATCTAACAACAGCACTCGGAAAGGCCTCTGAAAGAGCTGTTGAATGCGCTTTTCTGTGGCGCTGTAGCTCTATTGGTTCCCGAGTTATGCGTTGGGTGTTTGGGAAAATGTTGAAATATGCAACATTTTACCTATGATGACCTCTGGTGACGTGACCTTTGACCCAGGAGCCGAGTTAGACGGGGACGTGAAAACGCCTCCCCCAGCACGACACGGAAAACCTAGGCCACCAGCAAGGCGCGGGCTAAGTTCGACCCTCGATGTAAACAACACAGCACGATATTTACTAGCTGAATTACTGAGAAAACTGGTTAGCGCACATTGTATTGAAGATATTTATATTTTCCAAATGTGTTTTAACCCGCGCCCCTCCCGTGACGCCGATTTCGGTTTTAAGCGCAATCACGTGACACACCGCAGTCACGTGACCTAGAGGTGCGCTTTCAATAGACAGAGTGCGCTTATATCGAACCGAGAGTTTTACGCAATTAAAGACAATAAACGTGCTCAGTTTAACCTGCTCTCTTCAATAAAGCGAGATAAATGTTTCATAATGCTTCGGTACCAATGATATTGCCAATCCATCAAACATTGTAGTCAGGAGACGATTTGGCATTCGACACTTTTTCGAATTAATTCGGCGTTAGAATTGCACATATTTTAACAAATTGCGCTTTACAACAACAGTCGACTGAGCCGTCCGAGCGCACCCATTCCATCTGCGCCGGCAGGCGACAGAAACCGCCAGTGGCGGAATCAGGGAGGAAGGGGGGGGGGGTAAGAAAGTGGGGAAGAAGTAGCAAATGGCTTGTGGCGTCCGAAGCTCAATAAGAGCCTAGGTACTCAACCGGAGCCGGAGCCGTCCACAAATCTACGGCTCCATATCTTCTTTGAATAGGGCTGTCTAATCGTAGGCTATGACTTCATTGGTGGTTGATTTATTTCAACCGAATGTCATAGTCATGAGCTGCTGATCGCATGTTTCTGGTCCATCTGCATTCTGTATATCATGAAATACTCGGGAAACTTTGCCCTATTTTAGCTACTGTGGCTGTTGACGGCGTTCGAGTGTGAAACCAATGGCGTTAATGACGTAGAAGAACTT